TTTCACTGGAGCAGGCTAGGCCGCCTGGAGCACTTGCCCCCGCCTTCCTGGCAGGGCACGCCCAGCCCTGGTCTCTCCTGCTTGGCAGGGAGCCTGCTGGTTGGCTGGAATTTGTGTCAGGGTGGCATCTCAGGCAGCCACGCTCATTTTGCTTTCAATGCACACGACTGGGGACTGCGCCAAATCGTAGTGAGGGCATCATCGGCGGGGGTGGAGCTGGGAAGCTGAGTTTATCAACAGCTTCTTTCTGCTCCCCGGATGTGCCCGCCCAGCCCTTAGAAAACCCTCTGCCCAGGTCTGAGCAGAGCACCTGGAGACCAGTCCACTGCTCCTGCGCGCCACCTCGAGGCCGCCTCGGTTACTGCACTGCCGAGTGTGCCGTAACTGCTTCGCGAGCGTCAAAGCATGCGGACCGGCTGGGTTAGGGACAACTGATAAAGCGCCGCTTTCTTCTCTGTCACCACGGTGCCCTCCGAGGTCTGTTTCCTAGTGGTCCAGCTACAGGTCCCAGAACATCGCGCTCACTCACCGCCACACTTTTGCATGGGCTGCCCTTCCTGCCTGTCTACAAACTCCATTGCCTTTCAATCCTCAGCTCATCCACAATACTTCAATACTCTCTTCCCCCGGCTCCTTGCTTTGCAAGTGATGCCGAGGCAGTCTCCCCTCACTCCCGTTGTCGTATCTCTATCCCCTTCTGAAGGCAAGCGCTTCAGTGCCATGACACAGAAATCCTCAGTTTCCATCCTTGCTGGCTGCGGAGGTTGCAAATGGCTGGGCGATGGATGTGTTTTGTCTGTCCTAGTGTGTCTTACAAAAAGATGACTCTGTGGCTGATATTTACTTATTTATTCACTCATTCTAAGAGAGATTTTTGCTATAGGGCACGTGCGCTTGATGGAGAGACAGAAAACGAGAAGTCACTCCCTCCTCCAAGGAGGATGGCCACACTGCAATCCCTCCTCCATTCTCCTGTTGGGATCTTGGGTGCGCACGCACACACGCCCAGCATGAGTTTTAAGCCGCTGAGTCCAGGACTCGAACTGCGGTCGGCCATGTGGGAGTCCAGCAACATAGCCACTATGTCACCTGCTGGCCCCTGTGGCTGATATTTACCACTGGGAGTGTCGTATACAATTGTAGGTGTCTAGTTATGCTGAAGGAATTGGAAGACGGCACGGGGTTTAATACAGGAGCAATCCGCAGGGGCTGGCCCCGCCCTCGGACAAGCGCGTCTGTTCTCGTCTGCCGTGGTCTCCATTTACCCAGCGTGGGCACGTGACCTTGACCCTGCCAGAGGCCACGTTTGCAAGGACACGCGCAACAGATGTGCTTGCCGAGCGAATGGATGGATGAAAGCGAAACACGAAACAGAAGGGTAGAGTTCAGGAAACAGTCTGGTTGAAGGTATAGTTATACGACTTGCTTGTGGGGCCAGCAGGTAGCATAGAGGTCAAGGTGCTGGACTCCCACATGGCTGACCACAGTTCGAGTCCCAGATCAGTGGCTTGAAAATCACACCAGACACATATGCATGCGTGCCCAAAATCCCGGGAAGAAAATAGAGACAACAGAAGGGTAGAGTTCAGGAAACAGTCTGGTTGAAGGTATAGTTATACGACTTGCTTGTGGGGCCAGCAGGTAGCATAGAGGTCAAGGTGCTGGACTCCCACATGGCTGACCACAGTTCGAGTCCCAGATCAGTGGCTTGAAAATCACACCAGACACATATGCATGCGTGCCCAAAATCCCGGGAAGGAAATAGAGACGGGATTGTGCGGTGGCCATGCCCCCTGGCGGGCGATTTAACTTTCCCTCTCACCGTCTGCTCTCTGCCAAGTGCACACGTCTTATGGCAAATACCTTAAAAATAATAATAAATAAAAAGACTTGCTGTATCCCTGAGGGTGGCCCACCCCCATACTGAACGAGCAGGAAATGGCACCACTGCTGGAAGGACAAACATATTCTGTTTGGCCGACCTTCAGAAAAGAATCCCTTATGGGAGGGAGCCAGGAGGCTCCAAGGCCATGAAGGCAAAGCCAGGAGGAGTCTGGAGGTACAGACCCTCACAGAAATGTCAAATGCTTTCACCACCAGGCAAACCCAGGGCTGGGCTAGTGCTCAGGACTTCGTCCTGGGATAGCCGGCCGGCCTTCACACTTCGGGACACCTGGGCTCCTGCCTGCTAACTGCCAGCCGTGTCCCCCCACTTCCAGCTCCTGCCCCAGCCCGCCAGATGACCAAACGAACCCTGTTGAGAACCACTGAACTAGAACCAGGATGAAGCTGGAGCCCCCATTCCCAGGCCTTACCACAGCAGACATTGCTAATGGACTGCAGAACTCTTCTCGTAGCAGACAGGACACAGCCTGAGGCTGTCTTCAACCAGCACTCCAGAGAGCCTCCACTGGAGTTGTGCAGCCCATCAACACCCCAGGCTGGTACGCCAGGCTAAAATAACCGTGCGGCTCTCACACACACCCTCCTAGAAGCCAACACCCTTACCGTCTGCCTGGTCATCCCAGTCCAATGTGACCTCTTATCCACTTACTCTGACCCACCTCTAGGCCACTTCCTGGCCTGCCCTGTTCTCCCCAGTCCTCTTCTCTTGCTCTGACTGCTTTTTCACCTGAACCACCACTCACGTTCACTCCTTTGTCCACAGAATCCATCGTGACCACACGCAGGTTCGTGGTTTCAGTTACACTAATGACTTGGCATTTTTATTTGCAGCACAGACTTTCTTTTTGAATTCCAGCCTCGTGTAACCCAAGCGCTTATCCGACCTCTGCCCGGATGGCTCACACAGCTCAATGCAGCACTTCCAGACCTGAACTCTCGCTCTCGCGCCCACGTCTGACTTACGCGGCTGCCCCATCCCGCAGGTGGCAACTCCATCCTTGCAGACGTTCAAGCGAAGGTCTTGGAATCCTCCTCGATGCCCCACATCCAATCTGTCAGGAATTCCTGGAGCTCCCCCTTCAGAATATATTCTAAATCCTTCGCTTCTCCCCACCTTCACTGCTGGCCCCTGAGCCGTGTCACCGTCACGTCTTACCTAAGTGATGGCTTCAGTCTCCTGGCCGGTGTCTGCCTCTGCCCCCGCCTCTACCTTCTTCCTGGCCCTGCAGCCAGAGGGACCCTGAGAAACTCAGTGGAGCCGTCCCTGTGCTTAGTGCTCCCCGTCACTACTGTTATTATTATTATTATCATTATGTAGACATTGTTTTTTTTTTTTGAGAGGTTTTTGCTGTAGGGCGCGTGCGCTTGCCAGAAAGACAGAGAGAGACAGAGAGCCAGAAAGCGAGAAATCACCCCCCAGGGGGGATGGCCACGACACAATCCCTTCTCCTCCATTCTCCTCTCGGGATCTTGGGCACACACGCACACGCGCCCAGCGTGAGTTTAAGTCACTGGGTCCGGGACTCGAACTGTGGTCGACTACATGGGAGTCCAGCGCCATAGCCATTATGCCAACTGCTGGTCCCAATTTAAAAGGTTTTTTTTTTTTTTTTTTTTAACCTTAGGGCGGATGTCCTAGCCAGAGAGACAGTGAGAGGGGAAATGAGAAATCGCCCCACTCGGGAGGATGGCCATGCCACAGTCTCTTCTCCCCCAGTCTCCTCCTGGGATTTTGGGCACACACGCACAGGCTCTGCATGATTTTCAAGCCGCCGGGTCTGGGACTTGAACAGTAGTGGGCCATGCGAGAGTCCAGCGCCTTAACCACTACACCACCTGCTGGTCCTACCCTGTTTGTGAAGGACCCCTAAATGATTCCTCCAGCCCGCCCCCTCACTTAATCTGCTCCAGCCACCTCACTCCTTGGCTCTGCCAGGCACACTCCCACCTCAAGGTCCTCACGTGAAGTGACCCCAGTATCTGCACGGCGAACCCCCTTACCTCTTTCAAGCTTTTGCTCAAAGGTCACGTCCTCAAGGAAGGCTTTCTGAAACGCTGGTCCCCAGCGCCCTCACTCTCCTCTGCTGCCTTCCACAGCACGCGCCACCTCCTAAACCAGTGTGTGATCAGGCACCGCCTGTCTGCCCGGAAGGAGAGGCCCCGACAGCACGGGCTTGTTTCTTTAGCTCTTTTCTCTCTCCGTCTGTTCCCTCCCCTTCTCCTCCTTCCCTCCCTCCTTTCCTTTCTTTTTCTTTTTCTTTCTTTCTTTTTTTTTTTTTAGGTTTTTGCCATAGGGTATATGTGTTCACTGGAGAGAGACAGAGAGAGGAAAAGTGAGAAATCACCCTTCTCCTCCATTCTCCTCCTGGGATTTTGGGCACGCACATGTGCCCAGTATGATTTTCAAGCCACTGAGTCTGGGACTCGAGCCGTGGTTGCCATGTAAAACCCAGCGTCTAACCCACCACGCCACCTGCTGCCCTCCTTCCTTCTTAATTGCCAGAGAGAAACAGAGAGAGAAGGCCAAAGCACCCCCTTGGTGGGGCGTGGTCATGCAATCCCTCCTCCTCCACCTATCCACACTGTCTGGATTGGGGGCACACACGCACACGTGCCCAGTATGTTTGTCAAGCTGCTGAGGCCAGGATTCACATCACGTTGGCTGTGTGGGATTCGGCTTTCTCACCCACCGGCTACGGAGCTGGCCCTCTTCGGCTCATTTCTGTATCCCTGACACCTAGGGCAGCTCCTGGCACACAGTAGGTCAATAACCTGGCGAGTGGATCATTTGATGACTGATGCTGCTCTCCCATAGACACCCTGACCAGTTCCGCCTAAATCCGAAGGGCCTACTCCAGCACGAGCTTTCAAGAGCCGGCCCTGCCTGAGTCCAGCTTGACCACGAGAACGAATGTTTCCCAGTGATGGAGCCGCGGCAGCTGGCCCACCCCGTGAAGGAGGCCCGTCTCCGACCGGGGCCTGCTCAGCCTGAGGTGTGGGTCCCAGCACTCGGCTCCTTGCCCCTGCAGGCCTCCCTAACGCGCAGAGGATGGCGCCGACTTAGCTGGTGACAGACAATCTGTGGCTTCCTTTACCTTTCCACCGGTGGCCTTTTGGGAGAGGAGGTGGCAGAAGACTTGGAGTCCACAGAGTCCCTCCTGGAAGAAAAGGGATCGGAGATGAGACTCTCGTAGGCTAGCATCAGCACTGATCCCCGAGAGAAGCTGCAGAGAAGGCATCCCAGAGCGAGGCTTGCTGGGGGAAGATAAGCAGGCCGCCTGGATGCAGCTGCCCAGGAGAGGGCGCTCCAGGCAATGGCAGCTGGTCACCCTCACTCACCCTCCACCAAACACAGCAACGTGAGGGAGGGAACCAGCAGCTGCCAGAGGTGCCATGCACGTGTGCAGTTACCGATGAGTGACAACCGCTCAGCAGGCCCCTGCCCTCCCTGCTGCCAGGCAAGTCCCAGCTGGCCAGGGTGTGCAGAGGTGGGATTCCTGGGATTAGCTATCAACGTGTCATCTGGAGCCAGAGAAACCGAGAGGTCAGCTTCGCCTCCCCTGCAGCCCCCTTAAAGGAGGCGAGGAGAAGTACATGGCCCTTAGAAGAGCTGGCTTAAAGTGGCAAACGAAAAGGTAGGGACAAAGTTCGATGTATGCCGTGCCTAAAGTCATGCAAGAAAAACTAGTGCTTAGGAGGAGAAGAAGACGGAAAGAAAATGCACCCAAAGGCGAACCCACTGTTACATTAGGGTGATGGGATTAGAGGTGGAAATGTGTTTGCACTTTCGCGTTTCCAGCTATATTCATTTATGATATATTATCTAGTTCCTCCTACCCCCTGTATCAGACAGAGGACAGAGAGCGGGAAAAGGAGACTGACAGGCATTTTCAACCGGATCAGGCCACGTGACCCTCCTGCCCCAGCCTCCCAATCAGCTAGAAGTACAGGTGTGTGCCACCCTGCCTGTGTGCTCGGTTCGGCTTGGCAGCTGATCCAGGCCTCCCAAGCAGTGGCCCTACCTGGATGCCACTAGCTGGGTCTGTAGTTTCTCCCTTAATTCGTTTTGTTTTGTTTTGTTTTGAGAGGTTTTTGTTATAGGGTGAGTGCACTTGCCAGAAAGACAGAGAGAGACAGAGAGACAGACAGTGAGAAATCACCCCCCCCCAGGGGGGGTGGACACACCACAATTCCTTCTCCTCCATTCTCCTTTCGGGATCTTGGGCACACACGCATATGTGCCTGATGTGAATTTAAGCCGCTGGGTCCGGAACTCGAACTACAGTCGACTACATGGGAGTCCAGCAACATAACCATTATGCTAACTGCTGGTTCCCCCCTTAAATTAGTTTTATAAAAGTAATCAATTTGTAAATTGTAACTGCCACTTCCCATCTCATTCGTCCTATTCCTGTTTTTTTTTTAAATTTTTTTAATTTTTATTTTTTAAGAATTATTTTATTTATTTAGTTTAATTTTTTTAAAGCAATTTCTGACCAGTCTCTTTAATGACAATTGCTTTAAATTTTTTTTTTTCACTATAGGGCGCGTGTGCTCGCCAGACAGACAGAGAGAGACAGAGAGACAGAAAGCGAGAAATCACCCCCCAGGGGGGATGGTCACAGCGCAATCCTTTCTCCTCCATTCTCCTCTAGGGATCTTGGGCACGCACGCACATGCGCCCGGCATGAGTTCTAAGCCACCGGGTCCAGGACGTGAACAACAGTCGACTACATGGGAATCCAGCAACACAGCCATTACGCTAACTGCTGGTTCCCTATTTAGTTTAATTTTACCAGAGAGGAAGAGAGAGAAGGAAAGTGAGAAAGCAAGCTGCCAGATCCAGGACTCGAACTGTGGTCAGCCATGTGGAAGTCCAGCGCCCTTAACCTCCACGCCACTTGCTGGCCCCATCCCATTCCTTTTTTGTTGTTTTTGCTATAAGGTACGTGAGCTCACCGGAGAGAGACAGAGTGGGAGGGAGTGAGAAATCACCCCCCCAGGGAGATAGCCACACCACAATCCCTTCTCTTCCATTCTCCTTTCAGGATTTCGGTCATGCAAGCACATGTACCGGCATGACTTTTAAGCAGTAAGGTGCGGAACTCGAACTGCGAAGTTGACTGTGTGGGATTCAGCCACCTCAACCTCCATGCCACCGTAGCATGCGTCCCTTCTAACACACTGTACCATTTACAGACTTTCCTATATATGATCTGGCCTCCTCCGCCTCGCGACATTCCATTGGAGCAGACTGGGTGGGGTTGGTCACTGTGGTGGACAGCGCCGGTGCTGAGCCCATTCTCCCTTGGACACTGGCTCTCCCAGCACCTGGGACCCAGGGCTTCCTCCTGCAAGCTCCCCTGGACCTCTGCCTGAGGGAACTTTCCATGTCAGCCAGGCAGGCTGGAAGTGCTGGGGGCTAATGACCCCAAGAGCAGACCTCAGTCAGATATCAGCGCTCAGCCGGAATTGGTGGAGACATCCTCCAGACTTCTAGCCCTCACGTGGGTCACCTCGAGGTGTGCCCTCCACTGCTGCCCAGGGTGGGAGCCCGGGCTTCCCCCAGCAGCTAGCAGCTCCCCGTCACACTCGAGGTAGGCCTTCTTCCTCCCCTGTTCTCCCTCCCTCAGTCCGCTATCTGCATGGCCTGAGTCACTCCCCAAACAAACCACTTGCACTTGAATCCATGGGCCAGGGTCTATGTCTGGAAAAGCCAATTTAATATAGTCATTGACTGGGACCAGCAGATGGCATAATGGCTACGTCACTGGACTCTCATGTAGGTGACTGCAGTTCGAGTCCCTGATCCGGTGGCTTAAACTGACACCGGGCACATGTGCGTCAGATCCCGAGAGAAGAGTGAAGGAGAAGGGATTGTGGTGTGGCCATCTCCCCAGGGGATGATTTCTCGCTTTCTGTTTCTCTGTCTTTCTGGTAAGTGCTCGTGCCCTATAGCAAAACCTCTCCCCCCTCAAAAAAAAAAAATATGTGTGTATATATGCACACATATAGTCATTGACTTATCCCAAGCACGTAGAACAGTGCCTGCCCAGAGAAGGCCCTCTCTCTAAATGCGTGGCCGAAAGCTATGAAGTCAAACAGGACAGAAATACACAGAGGTAGAAAAGGGAACGTCCCCGGAATTGGCAGCTGTCGTTTGCCTTGTCTCCCAGATTGTCTTCTACACACGTACAAACATACGTAGCGTCTTTCGTTCTGTAAAAACACGTAACCCCAGCGCTGCTCGTGGCCAAGTCACGCTCCTGAGCAGTGGCTCCGTGACTTGTCAAAGGGAGAGGAAAGGGCCCACACCTTGGGCCGGCTGAGTAGAAGACATTAGCTGATTCACGCCCGTAGAGCAGTTCCAGTACAAAGGAGCCCTCCATGCCCATCACCCTGGGCACCTGGTCTCCAGCTTGCTCAGATCCTCTCGTTCCCAGATGCAATGTCTCTGTGTGGATCTCCAGCTCTGACCTCATGCTCCAGGGGTCTGAGAGACAGAGCCTCAGGGCTCACCCTGCTTACCCTGCAGGCCAGACACACCCAGCTCCGACCTGTGCCCAGCATAAACACGGGGGAGGCAGCGAGACGGAGGGGGAAGAGAGACCCTCCGTCACATACCCCCTCACCCCCACCAGGCCCTGGGGGTTCCCCTGTGGAGGGTCCTTCCCAGGTACCCCTCGGGGTGGACAGGTACCGGCAGGAGTGAGAGAGAGTGAAGACACGACATCTCCACCCAGACGCCCACCACCTGGCCCTGACCCCCCACGTTTGTTTTCAGTACGAATCAGAACTATTCTGCATTTACTGCAAATGACAGTTATGAAGCTGTTCAGGAACATACACGCAATTCTTGGAGTACAACAGGAAGAGAGAAAGGAGACACGATAGTTTGTACATATTTACTGGAAAAAGAAGCTTATAATAAGGGGAAAAATTAAACCTCTCAGTTCTGTCACTCAGAAGTGATCACTATTACCATTGTGGTGAAGAGCCTTTCAGTCTTTTTTGCTCCGCATATACATAAACGTCAGTTACTTCGTTTTATAGAAATGGGCATAATAAATACACTGTATTGTACAAGCCTCTCTTAGACCTTAGTAAATACCCCCCCATGTCATTGAATAGCCTTCCACCCTGTGCTTCTCCATGGGGACCTTAACAGCACTCCGAGTTTACTTAGTAGCTCCGCCGAGGGTTGGACTCTCCCGTGTGCTGTGGAATATTTAGCAGCCCTGCTGCCAGTTAGGATGGGTCTTCAAAAATGTCATAGAAAGTGTTTGTTATGGGGCTGGCCCCGTGGCCTAGTGGGCGAGGAAGCTGGATCCCTCATGGCCGACTGCGGTTTAAATCCCGGCCCTGGCAGCTTAAATAACACACCCCTGCACATGCGTGCACGCCCCAAATTCCAACGGGTTGGAGGAATGGAGGAGAGATTGTGGTGTGCTCACTCGGCTTGGGGGTTTCTCTCTTGCCCTCTTTCTTTTCTCCCTCTGATAATATTTTCTCTAATGTGCATTATGAAATGACTGCATGTATTTAAAAAAAAAATTTGCACCAACATAGTTTTTTTTATTTATTTTTATTTATTTATTCATTTTTAGGTTTTTGCCATAGGGTACCTGAGCCTGCCAAAGAGAGACAGAGGGGGAAAAGGAAGAAATCACTCCCTGAAGGGAGATGGCCACACCACAGTCCCTTCACCTCTTGGGATTTGGGGCATACACATGCACCAGGGTGACTTTCAAGCCACTGGGCCCAGGACTTGAACCGTGGTTGACCATGTAGGAATCCAGCACCATAACTACCATGCCACCTGTTGGCCCCTCAAACAGCTCTAGTTTAATTCTATTTTCCACAAACTTTTGAAGTCCCCTCCCCTTTTCTTTTTGCTATAGAGCATGTGCGCTTGATGGAGAGAGGTGAGGGACGGGTGGGGAGAAGTGAGAAATCACCCTCAGGGGGTGGCCATGCAGCAATCCCTTCTCTATTCTTTTGGGCACCCGCACATCCACACCTGGCATGTGGTGCAGGACTTGAACCGTACAGTTGGCCGTGTGGAACCTAGCCCCTTAACCTCCATACCACCCGCTGGCCCCTGTACTACTGTTTTTTTTTTGGAGAGGTTTTTGCTATAGGGTGCATGCGCTCGCCAGAAAGAGACAGAGAGATGAAAAGCAAGAAATCACCCCCCAGGAGGGGTGGCCACACCGCAATCCTTTCTCCTCCATTCTCCTCTCGGGATCGTGGGCACATATGCACACGCGCCCGGCGTGAGTTTAAGCCACCGGGTCTGGGACTCGAACCGCAGTCAAATGCATAGGAGTCCAGCGACATAGCCATTACACTAACTGCTGTTCCCGACTTTTTTTATTCTTCAGAGACAGCATCTTACTATGTTGCCTGGACCTTTAACTCAGAGTCCTCCTGCCGCAGGCTCTTGACTAGCTGGGTTCACTCACTGTTCCCAGCTTAGTTCGTTCATTCTTTCTTTCTTTTCTTTTCTTTCTTTTTTTTTTTGTTGTTTGTTTTTTAGATTATTTTCCCCCATAGGGTACATGTGCTTGCCGGGAAGAGACAGGGAGAGAGACAAAGTGAGAAATCATCACCCAGGGGGATGGCCACACCGCAATCCCTTCTCTCCACGCTCCTCTTGGGATTTTGGGCGTGCACACACTCGCATCCAGCATGTTCTTCAAGTTGTCAGGTTGAGACTCAAACTGTGGTCCTGTGAGACCCAGTGCCTTAACCATCTTGCCACCTGTTGGCCTCAGTTCTTTCTTTTACAGTCAGATAGAGTAGGGTGGTGGAGATACATTTCCCTCCTGGTTGAGAATTACTCCTCTTTGTTTTGTGCTAGAGGGCGTGTGTGTACCAGAGAGAGACAGAGAGAGAGAGACAGGGAGAGGAGAAAGCCCCTCTGCGGGAATGGCCATGCTGCGATCCCTTCTCCACGCACACACACACACACCTGGAGTGCCTCTAAAACTACCGGGTCTGAGACTCAAACTGCAGTCAGCTATGTGGGGTCTGCCAGGCCACAGAGCCGGGCCTGAAAATCACACCTCTTACGGCCCAGTTTTCTTTTCTCTTCTTTTTTTTGGGAGAGTTTTTGCTATAGGGCATGTGTGCTCGTTGGCAAGACAGACAGAAAGTGAGATATCACGCTTCCCCTGTGGGGGGAATGGCCACGCTGTAATCCCTTCTGCATTCTCCTCTCAGGATTTTGGGCGTGCACGTACATGTGCCCGGCGTGTTTTAAGCTGTCAGTCCAAGACTCGAACTGCAGTTGACCAAGTGGGAGTCCAGCAATGTAACCATTACGCCATCTGCTGGTCCCACAGCCTAATTTTCTAAAGTGTTTTCCCAAAACATTCGTTTTATACAGCCATAATCAACATTCATTATCAAAGTGTTCAGAGATCAACAGTGTTTCACAAACACCATCACAGGACACTCAAGCTCTGTGCTCTAGTATGGTTATTCTCCTGAGATGAATCCCATTAGTGAATTTCCTGGGCCAAAAGGCATACACTGATACATTAAAAAGGTTGATGTATTGGGGCCAGCAGGTGGCGTGGTGGTTAAAGATACTGGACTCTCACATGGCTGACCACAGTTCAATTCCTGGACCTGGCAGTTTGCTTTCTCATTTTCTCTCATTCTTTGGTAAGTGCAAGTACCTTACAGCAAATTTTAAAAATAACAATAAATAAAATTAAATAACTCTGAAAAAAAGTCGATGTGTCACAGATGGTGGGTGTCTTCAGTATCATCTGGTACCGTTCTCTAATCTACTAGATGGACAGATGTGGACTCCAAGCTACGTGGTCTCGTCACACCGAGAACAGGCAGGGCTTATTTACGCATGCTCCATGTAGACTTAGCCATCTCCCGTGACGGCGTAGGCATTTGGGCCCCCTCTGAGACTCACGCAATTTGGGAACACCCTGAGTAGCGTGGGCACCAGGGAGCAGGCAGAGTCGAGACAAATCGGTCTGTTCCTCTCTGCAGATGTGTGGAGGCCGGGGAGACAGATCTGAAGCCCACCGTGTCACACAGAAGCTGTGTAGCTTGGGGCCAGTTCCTCCTCCCTGACCTTCAGCTTCCTCATCACTAAGTGGAAGTGTTGAGTAAAGAGTTATTAAAACACTTCTGGGGCCAGTGGTGGTATGGTGCTTAAGGCACTGGACTCCTATGTGGCCGACTGCAGTTCGAGTACTGGACGGGGTGGCTTGAAAATCACACTGGGTGCGTGTGCGTGTGCCCAAAATCCCAGGAAGAGAAAGGAGGAGAAGGGAGTGCAGAGTGGACATCCCCCGGAGGGGTGATTTCTCACCTTCCCTCTTGCTGTCCGGCTCTCTCTCTCTCTCTCTCTCTCTCTCTGGTGAGTGTACACACTCTATGGCAAAAACCTAAAAGAAACAAAGACAAAACGCTGAATTGTGGACAAGTCTCCTAGCCACATTTGCCCTGGAGGCCTGATGAAGACGGGGTGGCAGCTGAGTCCTAGGGTGAGTGAGCAGAGTCGCGTCCACACAGGAAAGGCGAGGATGAACGACCCCGTTAGTGGGAGTTGCACACTCGGGCAGCCCTGCGCGTGGGGAATCTTGGAGGTGGGCATTCCCTGCCCTTGCTCTCGGACGCTTTGTCTACGGGAACGGCCTCACTGCCAGGGGTTCCCACCATTGCGGTCTCGTTTCCCCACACCTGGACTGTCCCCTGGGTGGACCGGTGCATGGCCTCCTATGAGAACTCTCTGATGAGAAACGGCCGAGGCTGCCCGGCTGGTACTCGCTGCCTGTCCTGACCTCCCAGGAGAAGCCGGCGCCGTCTCGGCCTGTTTGGGTTCTGTGGGTTGAACTGTCTGGCTGAGCCAGAGAAGACCCCGAGGGGCACCGTGGGAGCCAACGACAGCGTCTACTCCCGGCACCGCGAGGCTCTGTTGAAATGGCGTAAATGCCACTGCTGGCAGAGGACGCGGTAGGGGCGGCCCCCTTCCCACCATCTCCCCTGAAGTACCTGCTCTTGGGCTCTTTTCCTGGCTTTTTCCTGGGTGGAGAAAGACCAGCTTCTGGCTTCCAATCTGGGCGGTCAAGCCCTTTGTCCTTCTTTGCTCTGTCTCTTTCTTCTCCTTTTTCTCCTTTGGGGGGTCCAGGGGAGTCTGAAAACAAAAGTGCGGCACTTCCCTCAACTCTGCACAACCAGCGTACTTTGGGGAGAAAGGGCAGGGACTGAGACAGCCCCCCTGCACCCCCAGCACACACCCAAATAGACATTTACACACAGATGCATACAGGACATGCACATGCGTGTGAACGCACGCTCTCACACGGGCACATAAACGCATCGGCGCACGCACACCTACGCACGTATTCGTACGACTGTGTATAAGGACGCACTGTACATACAAACACGAGCACACGGACAGGAACATCCACAGGCACGTGTATGCGACCACACCTCTAACGTCTCTGCTCGGCATACACAAACACGGGCACTCCCACCAGCCCCCTCCACATCCAGAAGCCATCTGTCGACACACACACGCTGAGTGTCTGCTGCGAGCGGGCACTGTCCCCTCCCGGTGCGAGAGGAAACACAGGACTCAGGCCGGCCTGGCCCACTCACCCAGCAGCCGCTTCCAGTTTTTGATGAGGACTTTGGCCAAGGACACCACCTCCTTGTCTGAGCAGTGCTTGCGGACCCCGTTAACAGCAACGCCAATCCTGGTGGTCTGCAAAGCAAGAGGCAGGGCTGGGCCTAGTGTGCAGGGCTGGCCCGGCAACCCCGGAGTCCTATCCCTGACCCGTGACTGAGGTAACAGCTCCCATGCTGTGACCGAGGCTCTGCCCTCTGCCCTGCACGAGGCCCGGGGCCCAAGGCTCATACACAGCACGATGGGTAACTCTGGCCTTGGCGAAAAGCCGCAGTGAGGCGGGGTGGCGGTTGTGGGGCTTGGCTCATGGTCAGGACCCTTCCCCATCCCAGCCCCCCAGGGTCGCTGAGCTCAAGTTTTAACTTCGGCACAGCTCTGGCTACTCACTCCTGGGTTCGGGCTAATTTTCAGGGGATTCTGGTCAAGGTTGGGAGCTGTGGCAATACAGAAAGGGTTAAAACGGGGTGACTTCTCTCTGGATTGCCGGTCTGTTGGACCCTACAGGCCTAGGGCCCAGGACTTGGAGCATTTCAGTATTCCAGGAAAGCAAACCAGTCTTTCTCCCAGACCCAGAGGACCCTGTCCCCCAAGGGTACCCTGTCCCCCAAGGATGCCTCAGTGTCTCCCTCGGTCCCCACCCTAGGGGTCTGCACCTCAAGATCCCCTTCCCAGGCATTCCTAGGAAGTCCCTCCCAGACCCCTACTCTTGAAGGTCTTCTGACCAGACTTTTGCCCCCCAAAGGCCTCCCCGGGTGCTGCCCCGCTGCCCCCCACCCACCTGCAGTAGCTGGATGGACATCCGACAGCTGTTCAGCTTCTTCAGAAGGTCGAGGGCCCCTTCCTGTGGGAGGCCACAGGGTGAGACCTGAGGCCCAGGCCCTGCCCTGGCCTCTCCCTGATGCTGTGGGGCTCGGTGGGAGGGCGGGGGAGGAGGTGGAAGGAAGGACAGTCGGTGGGCAAGGAGAGGACGCCATCTCAGACCAGCTCCCTAACCTCGTCTCCCGCCAGCCTGCTGGTTCCAACCCCTGGCCAGACCCTGCAGCCTGACCTCCGGCCTGCCTCTGCTGTGCCCGCTGCCAGGCAGGTCCTCCCCGCCCATCTCTCCCTCCAGTGTGAGTTACTCTCCAGCTCATGGCTTGTGCATCCGTGGCCTCCTTCTCACTCCCCTGCAGTAAGCTTTGCATTGTGAGGGCCTGGGGCGTTTTAAATAGAGTTCAGGGCCAGCAAGTGGTGTGGAGGTCAAGGTGGCTGGATCCCACATGGCCGACTGTGAGGTTCAAGTCCCGAACCTGGCAGCTTGAAAAACATACCAGGAACGTATGCGTACGTGCCCAAATTCCCAAGAGGAGAACGGAAGGGATGGGATTGTGGCGTGGCCATTGCACCTGGGGGAGTGAATCTCACTTGGGTTTCTCTCTCTGCCCAGTAAATGCACACACTCGCTAGTTAAAAAAAAAAAAAAAAAAAGACAATTTTACTGAGATGAATTGACATATATAAACCACGTCTTGCAGTATACAGTTTGTTGAGTTCTGGCATAGGTATATGCTCATGAAACCATCACCACAATCAAGATGAGAACACTGGGACCAGCAGCTGGCGTAATGGCTATGTCACTGGACTCTCATATAGTTGACCATGGTTCGAGTCCCAGACCCGGTGGCTTAAATTCATGCTGGGTGCATGTGTGTGCGTGCCCAAGATCCCGAGAGGAGAATGGAGAAGGGATGGTGGTGTGGCCATCCTGGGGCTTGCTTGCTTTCTCTCTGTCTCTCTCTGTCTTTCTGGTGAGTGCATGCGCCCTATAGCAAAAACCTCTCCAAAAAAAAAACAAAAACAAAAAAACGGTGAGAACACAGCCAACCTCCCCTCCCGAGTTACCGTGGCTCCTTGGCAACCCTTCCCCCTCTCCCACCCAGCAAGCCATGACTCTGTTTTCTGTCACTACAAGATGATCTTGTATTGTTTTAAAATAATTATTTAATTTAATTTATAATTATTTTTTAAATTTGACCAGAGAGACAAAGAGGAAAAGTGAGAAAGCAAGTTGCCAGGTTCAGGACTCAAACCATGGTCAGCCACCTGTTGGCCCAACCCTGTATTTCTCTCTTTCTTTCTTTTTTTAGAGATTTTTGCTCTAGGGCACATACACTCACCGGAGAGACAAAGAGACCGAGAGACAGAAAGTGAGAAATCAACCCCAGGGGGATGGTCATGCCACAATCCCTCCTCCTCCAGTCTCCTCTCAGGATTCCAGGTATGCACGCACGTGTACTCAGTGTGAGTTTCAAGCTGCTGGGTCTGGGAATCGAACCCTAGTCGACTACATGGGAGTCCAGCAATGTTACCATTATGCCATCTGCTGTTGCCTAACCTTGTGTTTTAAAGGATTTTTTATTTTATTTTATTTAGTTTTAATTGCTAGAGGGCGTGTGCGTACTTGCTAGAGACAGAGACAGAGAAAGGGGAGGGAGAACGCACCCCCTAGTGGGGCATGGTCACACTGCAATCCCTTCTCCATTTCTCCATCCTGTTGGCATTTTGGACACATGCACACTTGCACCTGTTCTGTTTCCCATAGCACAGGGGCTGGGATTTGAGCCCTATGGTAGGCCACGTGGGATCTGGCTCTGTGCTCGCACTTCACTGCTCTCGAGGCTGGCCCATTAAGAACTCTAAGTAAGAGCACGCCATGGTCTCTGACTCCTTTCACTTAGCGGGATTCTCCGATTTGCCCTGCTGCCTCCTGCTCACCATCCCTGATTGCTGAGTGGCTTCCATTGTGCACAGATACCACAAATGGCTCATCCATTCGCCTGTTGATGGGACTTGGGGTAGTTTCAAATTTGGAGCTGCTACAAATAAAACTTCTAGAAACACTGAAGTCTTGGTGTGGACAAACACCTTCGTCTCTCTTGGTAAAGAGCACTGTTTTCATCTCTGAGACTGAGACCTCAGGGTTCAGAATCAAGTCCAGTGCTCTGTGTGATGAAAAGGCAGAAGGAGGGGCAGCCTGGGGGTTAGAAAGGAGGTCTTCTTCCCGGCCCTGCACACCCCCCGCCCACTCCCCCCACCCCTTCCTAGAAGCCAGTCCTGCCCTCTGTTCAGAGGTCAGTTCCCTGGGCAGCACCAGCTGAGCGCGTCCTGTCCCTTCCCTCTGTCCCACTGCCGGTGTTTCCAGCCGCCACCTCTGCCCTGCCAGGACTTGGGCCGTGTCCCAAGGACTGCACTTGGTCAGTCCTCGGCTTCCCTCAGAACTTGGGTTCCCAGGCTGTTTTCAGACGTGCGACCTGCAAGTGTGTGTGCGTGTAAACTTGTGGGTGTGCAACTCTGCGTGTAGCATTACTTTAAGGCTTAGTATGTGCTGGGCACTCTCCTCATTCTTTTTCCCCAGAGAGGGCCTCGCTGTTGCAGTCCTTCCACCTCTGCCTCCCAGCTGGGACTCCAAGCTGTGCAACCACACCCAGCTTTTTTTTTTTTTTCTTTCTTTCCATTTTGGCTATAGGGCATGTGTGCTCACCGGAGAGAGACAAAGAGAATGAGAAAAAGTGGGAAATCACCCCCCAAGGAGGCTGGCCATGCCTCAATCCATTCTCCTCCATTTCCTTCTTGGTACGTGGGCATGCACATACACAGGCCCAGCGTGTTGTCCAGGCCACTGGGTCCCGAGCTCAAACCTCCAGTTGGCCATGTGGGATCCAGCCACCTTAACCTCCATGCCACCTGCTGGCCCCCAGTGCAGCTCTTCTTTTAGAGAGCCTCGCTGAGTTACCCAAGCCAGCCTCAAACTCCTGACCCTCCTGCCTCAGTCTCCCCGAGTTGCCGGGGTCACAGGCACCCACCACCATGCCTGCCTTCAGGGATCAAACCCTGCCCTCCCAGCCTACGGAGCACAGCACCTTACAGCACGTGCCACCATGGCTGGGGTGGGCCTCTTCTAAGTATTTTCCCTGCAAGATCTCATTTAACTCTCACGACAACCTACGGTCCTGTTCACTATCCCCCTTTAACAGCATTATCACCTCATCTCACAGAAAAGGAGTCCAAGGTCACATGCTCTGTAAGGAGCTGGGCTGGGATTCAAACTCGGGCTCTGGGCCCCAGACACTGTATGAATGTGTGGCAGACATAGGCCCAGTCACTATAGGAACTGCGTGGGTAAGTCTGGTGGGGTACTGCGGGTAAGTCCGGTGGGGTACTGTGGGTAAGTACTGTGGGTAAGTCCACTAGGGTACTGCAGGTAAGTTCGGTGGGGTACTGTGGGTAAGTCCGGTGGGGTACTGTGGGTAAGTACTGTGGGTAAGTCCACTAGGATACTGCGGGTAAGTCCGGTGGGGTACTGTGGGTAAGTCCGGTGGGGTACTGTGGGTAAGTACTGTGGGTAAGTCCACTAGGGTACTGCGGGTGAGTCCGGTGGGGTACTGCGGGTGAGTCCGGTGGGGTACTGCGGGAAGTCCGGTGGTGTATGGGTCGGTGCTGAACAACCCAACCTGAGGAGGAAAGGACCTGAGCTGCAGTTTCTGTGAGATTTGGATTTCAAGCTGTCAACACATTATCTCTGAGCTGAAGGTCCCGGGAGAGACGTGCAGTGCCCTCTAGCATACAGATTCCACCGCAGGGACGCAACAGAGCCAGCTCGCTCTAGGCCGCAGGCGACAGGAAAAAGCAGGACCATACTTAGGAAGAGATCGTTTCGGGCTCTTTATTACTTTAAAAAAAAAAAAAAAAAAAAAAAGATTTCTTGGGGCCAGCAGGTAGTGTGGTAAATAAGGTAAAAATCTCTTTTTTTAAAAAAATGGCTGTTTTGTGACCAGCAGTTAGCGTAATGGCTATGTCGCTGGATTCCCACGTAGTCGACCGCGGTTCGCGTCCTGGACCCGGTGGGTTAAAACTCACGCCGTGTGCGTGTGCGCCCAAGATCCCAAGAGGAGAAGGGATTGCGGCATGGCCATCCCCCCTGGGGGGTGATTTCTCGCTTTCTGTCTCTCTGTCTCTGTCTGTCTGGCGAGTGCACGCTCCCTATAGCAAAAATCTCTAAAAAAAAAAAAAAAAAAAAAAAAAGGCTGTTTTACAAACAGCTTGCAAAATTCCTGAAAATGTAACCATTGGTGTGAAGTCCACTCCAGCTCACTAGGAGGTGTTTGCTTCTGTCTGTCACAGCTGTGTAACGGCTCAGGTTAGAGGGTAGCCTTGAGCCTGTATTGTAGTTGGGTTCACAAGGCCGTGTGCAGGTGTCACTGGGTGCATCTCTGTGTCTGAGCCGTGTGTGGAGCTGTGACCGTGTAGCTCAAGGCATGACTGAGTTCACTTGTCTTTGCGGGAGATGCCTGTGTTGCTAGACTGAATGCATGAACGTGGCCGTCTGCTGTCTGTGGCTGTGCGTGTCTGAGTGTGCTGTGCGTGCACATGCATGTGGTTGCCTGTCTTTGACTATGACGGACAGTGTGTGAGACACTGTGTTGGGGTCAGTACCCACGCTTCTGTGCAGGTAGGTTTGCGGGTGCTTGTTTAGCTGCTGTGCGTGCCTGTGTGTGTTGCTACGTCTGTTGATGTGTAATTACGTGTATGTGTGGCGGTGACTGCTGGTGCTTGGCTTTACGTTTCGAGCTGTTTCAGTTGGTGCTTGCTCGTAGCATCTGCCAAAGCCCTGAGTTGCAGGGACTTCAGCGATTGGCAATAAACCTCGGCTGGAGCTGCAACGTGGAGAATCCGTCTCGTTACAGGAAGTGTGTCCTCCGCCTAACCACCACTGGGCGGGCCCGCTTTCGCTCCCGGAGCAAGCCCCACCCTTCTGGCCAGATGCCCAGCGCTTTGTGCCCACCCAGATGCTGCCAAGAGTCCAGGCGCAGACGTGGCTGTAAACAGACTGCAGGCTGCAGGCACCCCGGGGCCAGCTTGAGCCTTTCCCGGAGACGGCACTGGTCACTTCCACAGGGACCCCTACCCACGGAGCACTGTTTCCTCTTCCCATTTCACAGAGGAGACCGAGGCACACAGAGAAAGTAGGGGTGAGAGGGAGAGCAGGACAGGCCCTTCCTCGTCTATCAGTGCTCCACCCCACCCTCTGCCTTTCTCCAGGTCTCTCCGCTTCTCCACCCTACCCCACCCCTCTCACCCAGAGACCCAGAATTTTTCTTTCTTTTTTTTCTTCTTTTTTTTTAAATTTTTGCTATAGGGTGAATGCACTTTCCAGGGAGACGGGGAGTAAGAAAGCACCCCCTGGGAGGACGGCCACATTGCAGTCCCTCCTTCCTCACTTTCCTCTCAGGGTTTTGGGCATGCACACACACGCGATGTGTTTTTCTATTCTTTTTTTGAAAGAAAAAGATTTTTCTATAGGGCATGTGTGCTTGCCAGAGAGACAGAGAAGACAGAAAGGGAGAAATCACCCCCTAGGGGAGATGGCCACACCGCAATCCCTTCTCCTTCATTCTCCTCTCAGGATTTTGGGCATGCACGCACACCACCCAGCATGAGTTTTTGTTTTTTAATTTAATTATTTGTTTACTTGATTTCATTTGTTATTATTATTATTATTTTATTTGACCTGAGAGAAGAGAGAGAAAGCAAACTGCCAGGTCTAGGACTCGAACCATGGTCAGCCATGTGGTAATCCAGCACCTTTAACCACCACACCACCTGCTGGCCCCTGGCATGAGTTTTAAGTCGCTGAGTCCGGGACTCGAACCGTGTCTGACTACACAGGAGTCCAGCGACTTAATCATTATGCCATCTCCTCATCTCTCTCTCTCTCTCTTTTTAAAAGATGGTTTTTGCTGTAGGGTGTGTGCACTTGCTGAAGACACAGAAAGAGAAAGTGAGAAATCACCCCTCAGGGGGAATGGCCATGCTGCAATCCCTTCTCCTCCATTCTCTTGGGATTTGGGGCACCCATGCACATGTGCCTGGCCTGAGTTTCAGGCCACTGGTCTGGGTCTCGAACCATGGTTGGCCATGTGGGAGTCCAGCACCATAACCATCATGCTGGCCCCCCAGTAAATGTTTCAAGTCACTGGGTCTGGAACTCGCCCCTGTAGTCACTGTGTGGGATCCAGTTGCCCCAACCATCATGCCACTGGCTGGCCCTCTTTTCTTTTTCTAATTGTCAGAGGGAGCATGTGCTTGCCAGTGAGAGACAGAGAGACAGAGAAAGAGAAGGAGAAGGAGAAAGAAAGGGAGGAGGCACATGCCATTGGGGCATAGTCACACTGCAATCCTATCTCCATTTCTCCACCCTGTCAGGGTCTGCGGCACACATGCACACGTGCCAGGTACATTTGTCAAGCCTCTGGGACTGGGATTTGAACCACGTAGTGGGCCATGTGGGATCTGGGTCTCTCAGTCACTGGGCCACAGGCTGGCCCCAGAATTTCTTTTTCTAAATAACTTTCTTTCACTCTCTTTCTTCCTTGGGAGACAAAGAGACGGAGAGAAAGACAAGCACTCTCAGCAGGGTCTCGTGCTGAGCTCTTCCTCCCCAGCACTCCAGCCCGCGTAGCAGCATGTGTTGGTAGGGACAACTGACCCAGATCCCCCAGAGCACTGGGTACAACTGAGCCACCTCAGTGGGCCTCGCACTGTCCTTCCTGGTCCAAGCCTGGGGTCAGGAAGAGGCTGGGCTGGGGTAACCTGCTGATGGGAAAGGGAACCTGACTCAGGATACCTGATGGATTCCGCCCCCTCAGCTGGGGAAGCACGCCCTACGACTTGGGGCTCTGTTTTGCTGAGGATTTCGGAGGAGCCTGGGGGTGGGTGGAGCTGGGAGGGTCAGGGTGAGAAGCTCCTGGCACTCTGCAGGTTTCCACTGAACTTTTCCTCTGCATTTCACCTGGCTGTGCTGAAGCAAGTCTCATCCGCTAGCACTTGGTAAGCATGCGACCTCACATGCAGTCCATGTAAGGCTCCTCAGCCTTCACCACTGCCTGGGCTGGAACATACACCCTCACAGATGAAGCCTGAGGCTCTGGTCTTCCTATGGACTCCAGTTCAGTGTTGCCCAGTCCCTTCTGAGGGCTCCCAGACACTCCACGGTCCACTGATCCCTCCCTCTACCTTCAGCCACTCCTCCAGGCTGAAAATCTTCCCTGAGGGTTCCTCCCTTTCCCGACCCCCTAGGGTAACAGAATGTACTGGAAATGCAGGTGTTGCTGCCGCACGTGGCAATGAGTGGTGGGAAAAAGAGGACCTTGGGACGGTGCAAGCTGTGGGGCTCTCTGCACACCTTTCCAGGGTAGGCCAGGCTTTAGGGGACCCAAGGCCAAGTTTGCTCTGGGTGACTGGCAGTCGCCAGCCCGAGGCAAAGATCGCAGGGAGGATCAAACATTAACTTCCAGTCCACCTGAGCTCTGCTCCTGGACTGGGAGCCCGGGACCCTCGGTAGAGAACTGCGAGCTGATATCCCGGCGACCTGGCCTGCCTCCGCTCTCCCAGAGCCTCTCCACTCCACACCCCTGCTTCAGGGCCTCTAGCCGGCCCCCTCCCCCCTCCCGAAGGCCCAGGCACCTGTTCGCCCCAGTCTGCCCCGGGCCCCACCCAGCCGCCAAGGAAAGAGAAAGTTACAAAGGACCAAAGGACGGGGAAACGCGGCTCAACTCACGCCCCTATCCACCACCACCGTTTAAAATTTTGCTGGGGGGCACGTCTGCTCACCAGGGAGAGAGAAAGGGAGAGAACGTGAGAAGTCACCTCCTAGGGGGACTGGCTACGCTGCACTCTTCTCCATTCTCCTCTTGGGATTTTGGGCACGCATGCACACGT